AGTGAACATGGAGGACTATGTGAGCAATGGCACAAACTGAATTATTCTTTTTTCTCCATGTTGCCTAGAAATGGAACAAAATGAGCTCTGAACAAGAGGGGAGCATCCACACATAGCAACAAGCAGGTTCAGAAAGTGCTGCTTGAAATGCATCAGAGAACATCTCTGTGTGGGAGAAGATGCAAAATCACAAAAAGGTTATACACAGTATAGCTTGGGGCTATATTTGCAGCTTTTTAAAACCAGGTTAAAGTCTTTCATTCAAATAATTTGTGTAAATGCCAATGTTGTTAACATCAAGCTCACTTGTAATAGTTACTATTGCTTGTAGAGTGTTTCAGTGCTGTGGTTTTTTGTAATTTCCCCAGAGATCTTGTGCTAACAAATAATATTAATAATAAAATGAGTTAGTTAGGGGTCTACTGAGGCCAACAGAAATATACATTCAAGGAATATATCTATATAGAAAAGGTCCCTAGAGTGCCAAATCCCTTCCTAAGAGGGAACTGAGCCCCAAGATTAAACAGCAGAAACTACCAAGTCCAGCAAACTCATCCATATTTCCAAACAAACAAAACAAAACAAACAAAAACACCCCTACAGAGAAGAAACTTATATTTGGATGCCTGCTTGCAAATAATTCAGAGCCAAACAACGAAAACATAGAGTGGGAATGTGGATAAAATTATACATCTATTAAGGAGGCACTGGAATTACTTTTGAGAATACTAAGGCTTCTTCCACACAGCTGTATAAAATCCACATTAAACTGGATTATATAGCAGGGTGGACTCAAATAACTCAGTTCAAATCAAATATTGTGAATTATCTTCCTTGATTTTCTGGGTTACATGGTTGTGTGGAAGGGCCCTCAGTATACATTACTTTTCAAGCCCCTTTTCAAGGCAGGGTAAAAGTTGCCCTCCTTTAAACCAGCCTTTATGGTTGCTGAATGAAAATCCAAGGCAGGGAAGATATTCCCAAATCAAACAATACAGTCTTAAATTCTTGAGAATACAGACTGAGCATCCTTCATCCAGAAATCCAAAATCTTCTAAAATCCAAAATATAGGTGGATGAGACAGTGAGTGCATCCACACTATAGAATTAATGTTGTTCAACACCACTTCAACTGCCATAGCTCAGTTCTATGGAATCATGTGTTTGTAGTTTTGTAAGATCTTTAGTTTTTCCTGTGTGAGAATGCTGGTGTCTGAATAACTCCCAAGATTCCATAGCATTGAGCCATGGCAGTAGAAGTGGTGTGAAACTGCAATACTTCTTCAGCGTAGATACACTTAGGGCCCTTCCACACAGCCATATAACTCAGAATATCAAGGCAGAAAATCCCACACTATCTGCTCTGAACTGAATTATCTGCGTCCACACTGCCATATATTCTAGTTCAAAGCAGAAAATGTGGGATTTTATTCAGCTGTGTGGAAGGTGCCCCAGTGACACTTTGCTTTCTGGTTGTCCTGTGTACCCAAACCCTGTTTCGCTGCTCAAAATTATTTTAAATTATTGTAAAAATTACCTTCAAGCTATGGCTACAAGGTGTCTATGAAACATAAATGAATTTCATGTTTCTAGTAGGGTCCAATCTTTAAGACATCTCTCCATTTACACTGTACAGTATATGTAGAAATCCCCAAATCTGGGAGACCAAAAAAAAAAAAAAAACCCTGAAATCTGAAACACTTCTGTACCCAAGCATTTTAGATGAGGGTAGTGTATATATGCCTGGTGATTTATGGTGAACAAAAAAAAAAACCAAAAAAAACCCCAGGGTTTTCTTAGGCAAGGAATACTGTCAGATGTGGTTTAGCATTTCCATGCATGAACAGGCTCATTGGTCACCACTCTTATCAGTTTTGTTTTTGTCTAAGGGTGCATCTAGAATGAATGTAGTGTGACACCACATTAGCCACCATTGCACCATAGTAAAGGCAGTCCCCAAGTTATGAACAAGATAGGTTATGTAGGTTTGATCTTTAGTTGACTTTGTATGTAAGCTGGAACAGATACATTTTTCAATGTAACTCTAGTCAAACATGTGTGTGTGGGTGTCTGTATGTTACCTTTGGATAGCATGGGCAAGTCTTAACATCCATGTGATGTTTGTCTTCCTGCCTGTGCCCCTGTTAGGAAGATTTCAACTCACTTTCTGTCCCTGTGATCATTGGATTTTGAAAAAACTGCCTGTTGTGGAAACAAGGATTGGTGATAAAACTTCAGTGAAGACACCTTTCCCCCATGATAACTCTTCCAGGAGTGAATTTCCCTTCCGAGGGGCAGATTTCTCCCACTTTCTGTTGTCTTACTCCTGTTTTTAACTAGGAATCATTTGTAAGTGGGATGTTTGTAACTCAGGGACTGCCTGTGTGGATTCATGGGGGTTGCAGTCTTACAAAATCTTTAAAACAGTTTTGCAAAAATATCTGACAAAGAGTACCAATGTCTCACCAAACTACAAATCCCAGGAACCCACAGCATTGAGTCATGGCAGTGAAAGTGGGGTCAAAATACATTCATTCTTCAGTGCAGGGAGACACACCTTCTGGTTCCTTTTGTAGGAGAGAGATAAGGAGACAGGAGAGTGGCTGTATGTAGATCTATATAGATTAGGCACCCTCAACCTACAGATGTTTGAGCCTCCAACTCCCAGAAGCTTTAGCCAGGTTGTTCAATGGATAGGAATTCAGGGAGTTGGAGGCCTGCAGTAGTGGATGCCTCAGTGAGAGACAGAGAGAGAGATAAGACACACACACACAGTGTCCCCAAAGCTGCCATACACTAGGAAAATGTAAATAAATGTATATTTAGAGCAGGAATAATATTGTGTCCACTTCTGGACACCACAATTCCAAAAGGAGATTGACAAGCTAGAATATGAGAAGGGCAACCAAACTGATAAAAGGTTGGAAGCTAAGGCCTATGAGGGGGAGCTGGGGATGTTTAGCTTGGTGAATGGAAAGCTGAGGAGGGAAATGAGAGCCATGTTTACAACATAGCTGAAAGGAGGTCACATTGAGGAGGGGGCAAGCTTCCTTCGTGCGGATTCACATTGCAGGAAAAAGATTCCATGTAAATACTAGGAGGAACTTCCTGATGGTAAAACCTGTTTGGCAGAGGTATATATATATGCCTGGGAGTGTGGTGGCGGCTCCTTCTCGGGCAAGGGCCTTTAAGCAGAGGCTAGATGGCCATCTGTCACGAGAGCTTTGATTGTGCTCCTGAATCGCAGAAGGGAGTTGGACTGGATGACCTTTGAGAGTCTTTTCCCACTCTAGGATTTTATGATTTCATATATAAAATGTGTATAAATATGTATTTGTTTTGGGATTTGGGTGGGGTGGGTATTTACTTATGTTTGTTATACAGCACTGAATGTTTGCTGATTTTGTTGTTCACTACTCTAAGTCCCTTTGGAGAGATGATAGGATGGTATACAAATAAAGTATTACATATATATACACACACACACACATACACACACAGAGAGAGGATACTAAGATGCCTATCCTGTCTATTGCCCTTGGGGTCTCTTCCAACTCTAGGATTCTATGATTTCATCTATACACACACACACACACAACCAGGACACAAAGATCCTTATCCTGTCTTGTATATATCTCACACTGAGGCTGGTTGGAATCTGTCAAGAGGGTTTTGATTGTCTTCCTGCATGGCAGAAGGGAGTTGGACTGGGTGGCCCTTGAGGTCTCTTCCAACTCTAGGATTCTATGATTATATAATGTAATGTTCGTTTGTGAGATTAACATAACTCAAAAACCACTGAGCGAACTGACACCAAATTTGGACACAATGAGTGACCATCACTCATAAAAACACTGAAAAACACAGTGGACGATGGCAGGGGATAGCTAGTGTATACACATACACACACACACACACAGAGGGCACTAAGATGTCTATCCTGTCTTGTATATCACATTGAGACTGGATGGCAATCTGTTGGGAGTGCTTTGATTGTGCTCTTGCATGGTAGAAGGACGTTTGACTGGATGATCCTTGGGGTCTGTTCCAACTCTAGGATTCTATGTATATATACACACAACCAGGACACCAAGATCCTTATCCTGTCTTGTATATATCTCACATTTAGGCTGGATGGACATCTGTCAAGAGGTTTTTGATTGTTTTCCTGCATGGCAGGAGGGAATTGGACTGGATGGCCCTTGAGGTCTCTTCCAACTCTAGGATTCTGATGTTCATTTGTGAAATTAACATAACTCAAAAACCATTGAGTGAACTGACACCAAATTTGGACACAATACACCTATCAGGCCAATGAGTGACCATCACTCACAAAAACACTGAAAAACACAGTGGAAGATGGCAGGGGATGGCTAGTATATGCACACACACAGAGGACACCAAGATGTCTATCCTGTCTCGTATATCACATTGAGGCTGGATGCCAATCTGTTGGGAGTGCTTTGATTGTGCTCTTGCATTATAGAAGGAAGTTTCACTGGATTATCATTGGGGTCTGTTCCAAATTCTGATTCCATGTATGTATACACATACACACACATATACACACACAGCATTCCAAGATGCCCTCTTCTGTCTTGTATATGGATGTATGTCTCACTGAGGCTGGATGGACATCTGTCGAGAGGGCTTACATTGTGTTCCTGCATGGCAGAAGGGGATTAGACTGGATGACCCTTGGGGTTTCTTCCAACTCTAGGATTCTATGTATACACACACACACACCACATGTATACACACACAGACACAAGATACCAAGATTCCTGCCCTGTCTTTCACCTTTGGGGTCTCTTTCAATTCTCTGATTCTGTATCTATACATGTAAACACACAGGACACCGAGATGCCTATCCTGTCTTTCATATGTGCACACACAGGCAAGCCCCCAAGAGCCCTCAGAGGCCTCTCTTTCCTTTCTCAAACCCAGCCCCGCCTTGCTTTGCCCAAGAGAGGAGAGGAGCGGGGAGGGCGCTTACTTACCGGAGAGTCCCCCGGCGGCGGCGGTGCAGGGCTGCCTCAAGCTGGGCGCCAGGTTCCAGGCGAGGAAGGCCGACAGCCCCGAAAGCGTCCCCGCCGCCGCGTAGGCCAAGCGGATGGCCAGCTTCTTCGTCACCGCCATCCCGGCCCGGGCAACGAGACTGAAGGCGATCCGGCCGCCCCAAGGCTCTCTTCAGCCGTCCCTTCTCTCTCCCCGCCTCCTCTCGCCTTCCCTCGCTTGCCCTCCGCGGCGCCACCCTGCGCCTGGGAGGAGTCATCGCAGGCTTCACTATGACGTCATGCCCCTCGCACTGTCAACAAACACCGGCGACGCCCCCGCTGTTCACTGCATGCGCGTGGCTGCCACTCTGGAAGGGCCCTGCCTGGATTGCTCTGTAGACACTCTCAAACCCAGGATCCCATAGCATAGCTGCGCTTCTCAACTTGGGGGTCGGGACCCCTGTAGGGGTCGCCAGGGGGTGTAAGAGGGGTCGCCAAAGACCATCAGATAACACAATATTTTCTGTTGGTCATGGGGGCTCTGTGTGGGAAGTTTTACCCAATTCTATTGTAGGTGGGGTTCAGAATGCTCTTTGATTGGAGGTGAACTATAAATCCCAGCAACTACAACTCCCAAATGTCAAGGTCTATTCCCCCCAAACTCCACCAGTGTTCACATTTGGGCATATTGAGTATTTGTGCCAAGTTTGGTCCAGATCCATCATTGTTTGAGTCCACAGTGCTCTCTGGATGTAGGTGAACTACAACTCCCAAACTCAAGGTCAATGCCTACCAAACCCTTTCAGTATTTTCTGTTGATCATGGGAGTTCTGTGTGCCAAGTTTGGTTCAATTCCATTGTTGGTGGAATTCAGAATGCTCTTTGATGGTAGGTGAACTATCAATCCCAGCAACTAAAACTCTCAAATGACAACATCAATCCCACCCTCCGAACCCCACCAATATTCAAATCTGGGCAGGCATGTAGCCAGGGGAGGGGGGACTTGAGGGGCTCCCCCCCCCGAAATTCTCATGGTGGTTCACAAAAAGGCCTCCTTATGCGTTATTTAAACTTATGTTTATTCATATCATGATCTGATCACCATGCTCAATATATCCGATATGCATGGGGTATTGGGGTAACGATACAAAAGGTTTGCTAGGGTAGACCCGCTTTCACTCAGACTCAGCCCCCCCCCCCCCCCGAATCAAACTCATCACATTAACACGTATATTTGTACCAAATTTGGTCCAGTGAATGAAAATACATCTGCATATCAGATATTTACATTATGATTCATAACATTAGCAAAATTACAGTTATGAAGTAGCAACTAAAATAATGTTATAGTTGGGGGTCACAACAACATGAGGAATTGTATTGAGGGGTTGCGGCATTAGGAAGGTTGAGAAACACTGGGTCAAAGTAAAGGTTTTCCCCTGACATTAAGTCCAGTTGTGTCCAACTCTAGGGGTTGCTACTCATCTCAATTTCTAAGCTGAAGAGCCAGCATTGTCCTCAGACACTTCCAAGGTTATGTGGCCGGCATGACTGCATGGAGCACCGTTAACTTCCTGCAGGAGTGGTACCTATTGATCTCATTGCTTCTTTTCAAACTGCTAGGTTGGCAGTAGCTGGGGCTGACAGCGGAAGTGCGCACCGTTCCCTGGATTTGAACTGCCGACCTTTCAGTCAACAAGCTCAGCAGCTCAGCGGTTTAACCCACTGCGCCACCGGGGGCTCCCATAGCATAGAGGCCCCATTTATCCTCACAAGCGCAACTGATGGAGACAAGAGACAGGGCCTTCTCAGTGGTGGCCCCTCACCTGTGGAACTCCCTACCCAGTGACATTAGATTGCTCCCCTCCCTCTTGTCCTTTAGAATGAAACTCAAAACCTGGGTATTGGACCAAGCATTCCAACAGTAGAGGCAGTAATTGAGGGCCCTTCCACACAGCCCTATATTCCAGAATATCAAGGCAAAAAAATCCCACATTATGTGAGTGTGGACTCAGATAACCCAGTTCAAAGCAGGTACTGTGGGATTTTCTGCCTCGATAATGTCTGGAAGGGCCCTTAGAATGAGACCCAATTTGCATGAATGACAATGGACTGACCTGGACTATGATTTCAAATCTGCGTGATTTAAACAATGTTTTAGTAATTTTAAAGCATTAACAAAGATGCAGGCGAAATGTCAGGAGGGAATGCTTCTAGAACATGGCCATATAGCCCGAAAAAACCTACAACAACCCAGTGATTCCAGCCATGAAAGCCTTCAACAATAGTTACTACTAGTTAATACATTAACAAATAGTTTTAATTGCTTTTATTATTTATTGGCATTGAATGATTGCCTGTTGTGAAGCTGCCCTGAGTCCCTCCTCCAGGGATGAGAAGGACGGGATACAAATATGCAAAATAAATAATAAGTATACTGCTAGTATAACACAATTTTTGTTCCTGGGTCATTTACTAGTTTGTTCTATCATTTTTTAAAAAGGGGAAAAAAGTTTATCAAACTGCAAACACGATGGTTTTGCGGGACATCCTACAGCACATTTGGCTATCATTTTTCAGTGAATATTTATTTATTTATTTATTTACAGTATTTATCTATTACTTCTCACCCCACAGGGGACTCAGGGTGGATTACAATGCACATATACATTCAATGCCATTAGACACACAACATATATGGACAGACACAGAGGCAATTTAGCATTCTAGCTTTTCTGGTTTCGTTAGGGTATGCTTGATTCTGGCCACAGGGTGAGCTGCCTCTTCACCGTCCACTTGTGACACCAAGTCCTTTGATGGAGTCCTCATTCTTCCGCACACTGCTGGAAGGTTTTATGGCATGGTAAATTAGTTAAATTAGCTTCCTCCTACTTGTCTAGCAGGCTGCATGGGTCAACAGCAAGCTAGACTATTAATGGTCAGGAGCTCACTCTGGCTGGCTTTGAACTCACGACTTCTCGGTCAATAGTGATTTAATGCAGCTGGCTACTAACTAGTTGTGCCACAGCCTGGTCCATATATCATAGAGTCTCCACGAATTTGACATAATTTATGGCAGCCACAAAAATGAAGTTTCTGGAGTATAACAGCTACTTTCAAAGTAAATACCACACATTTAAACAGGAATAGCACTTTCAAACCGAGAACAGGTGTTTTTTTTCTTCTTCAAATTTTGTTACATAGTGCAATACAGATTGAACTGGATTATGTGGTAGTGTAGACATATAACAACAACAACAACAACAACAACAACAACAACAACTTTATTTTTAACCTCCCCCCAGAGACTCAGGGTGGCTTTCAGAGACAAATACAAAAATGGCAAACATTCAAAGCCATGTACTACGACAAAACTGAAATAAAACAGAAACCAATTAACAGTTAAAAACGAACAGTTAAAATAAACCAGTATAACAACCTAGGATAAATCATGTAGTCGGTCGACTTCATAAATAGCACCACAAGATTATAAAATCTGTATAAAAATATACACAGGTAAAAACATGGCTCTCCCATACGTTAAGGTAATATCAATGTTAGCACTGTTAGGCATGATAAAAGCAATAAAAGCTAACCATCTTCCTTTCCGAAGGCCAATGTGCAAAGGTGTGTGTTTTAATGGCTTCTTAAAGAAAAGGAGTGGAGAGGCTATCCTGTTAGGAGATAAGAGCTGCACAGCTGCTGGAGGATTGGAGCTGTCCTTGTGCATCATGTAGCCATTATAATAATAAGCACCACTCTTATTATTATCATTATCATCATAAACACAGTCTGTTACAGCAAACAAGATATATATGCTGGATTTCGTATCACAAAATCACAAGTCAAACACATTATTATTATTATTATTATTATTATTATTATTATTATTATTTTACACCCTGCTTTTTCTCTCCACAAGGACACCTAAAATGTACTGTTGTTGCCTCTGATTTATGGTGAACCATAGGGCCCTTCCATACAGTCCTATATTCCAGAATATCAAGGCAGAAAATCCCACAATATCTGCTTTGAATTGGGTTATCTGACTCCACACTCAGTGTGCCGTCACACCCAGACACTATAAAGTTAAAACTAAGATGTGCTTCTCTCTTTATCCAGGTGAACTGCGAGTGCCTTACTTAGAAGCTCAGGATTCTCAGCAACTGAGGTCAGTCCAGATTTGAACATCAAACAGAACATTTATTTCTTAAAGTCCTTGGCAGACTTGGCACAGCTTGATGAAGTTACAAACACAAACAGTCAACTTGTGAAATCATGTAGATGTTCTTTTTTTCCTTTTTCTTCAGCTGCTTGCATAAGAAAACCAGTGGGTTTGCCTATCTGAGCAGGGGTTCAAACCCTGATCTTCCAACATCCTAATCCAACATTCAGATCACCCCACTGGATCTTACATCTTTATACAGCAAGATATATTAGTCCAAGATGTCATCTACACTGTGTAGACTTCAATAACGTGGTTTAGCTGCATTGAACTGCATGTCAGAACGTATCTCGTACTACGAATCATCACGACGTTTAAGATCATCTGGAGAGGCCCTGCTCTTGATCCCACCGCCGTCGCAAATACAATTGGTGGAGACGAGAGGCAGGGCCTTCTCAATTCCCCTTCTGTGGAATTCCCTCCCCAAAGACATCAGACTGGCCACCTCCCTCCTGTCATTTAAAAGGAAAGTCAAGACTTGGCTGTGGGACCTTGCATTTGACCATTGAACAGTGGCTTGTATGAAGAAAACATAGGCAATTTCGAAGTGATAATGAATTGATCCGGACCTGAATTTTAATTAGCATGTTTAAACAACTGTTTATTTAATGTTTTGGTTTAATGAATTTGTTGATTGTTCTTATCATTATGATGGCACTGAATGGTGTTTGTTGTGAAACAAACAAACAAACAAACAAACAAACAAACAAATAATATGAGTTTACACTGACCATATAATGCCGTTTCAAACTGCATTCTATAGCAGTGTAGATGGGGCCTAAGACTTAGTAAGGCAGCTGTAGTCATTTCATAGAATTATAGAGTTGAAGGAGACCTCATGGGCCATCCAGTCCAACCTCCTGCCAAGAAGCAGGAAATTCATTCAAAGCACCCCCAACAGATGGCCATCCAGCCTCTGTTTAAAAGCCTCCAAAGAAGGAGCCTCCACCACACTCCGGGGCAGAGAGTTCCACTGCTGAACAGCTCTCATAGTCAGGAAGTTCTTCCTAATGTTCAGGTGGAATC